GGGAGCAGCAAAGGGTTTCAATCGTGTTAAAAACCAAACAGCCAGAAAGTTGCAGCGAGAGCGCCTCATTTCAACCTTGAGCTACAAATATTCTCCTTTAGCAATAGTACTTATAGACTTATATACTGCTTCATAGTGCTTTACTGCCCTCTCTCTAAACCAGGGGTTTGCTGGCTGAGGAATCCTGGGAGTTGAAGTCCACAAGTCTTAAAGTTGCCAAGGTTGGACACCCTTGCTCTAAACGGTTTACAGCAGAGGTCCCCAAACTTGGCAACTTTAAGACTTGTGGACTTCAACTCCCAGAATTCTCCAGCCAGCACAGCTTAAACTCTCTTGTAATCCCTTCCTCTGCAATCTCTCCTCTTTGGGGGAATAAGAGAAAAAGAAACAGACACGGCTGGCTGAGGAATTCTGGGGAGTTGAAATCCACAAGTCTTAAAAGTTGCCAAGTTTGGAGACCCCCTGGTTTACAGAGTCAGCATATTTGCCCCCCAACAATCTGAGTCCTCATTTTACGGGTGGAAGGACGGAAGGATTTTACGGGTGGAAGGAAGCATTTTCCTTAAGAAGCGTGGAAGGCTGAGTCAACCTTGAGCCGGTCAGGATCGAACTCCTGGTCTGTGGGGCAGTGTTAGCCCGCAATAAGGCCTTCTAACCACTGTGCCCTTAGGGTCAATGAAAATCCCCATTAAAACGGTCAATTAACCTCCCCTTGCCATTAGCAGAGTTTTCATTTGAAGGTCTGCTTCCGCATTATGACCCTTCAAATTCTTACGCAGGTGGCAAGAGTTGGTTGACCTTCTCTGGGCCTGGGAGTCAAGCAAGATTAGGACTTGGATGAGGAACCTGTAATGACACGCCTGCAAATAAAAACCCAAGCTGAAAACTCGCACAATCAAGCAAAACTGCTCTTAAAGGTGGTTGATGCCTCCGTGAAGGTACCAATCCTGGGCTTGATTTGGTACCTTTATCTTCCATCTCCAATGCAAAGCGAAGAATGAGGAAAGCCCAGTTAGTCATCCCCAGCCTGGTGTTTTCTGGCTTGCTTGGGAAATGTGGAGACTGTAATTTTAGCAGGTCTAGAGAATACAGGTGGTCTTCAACTTACAACACTTCGTTTAGTGACCATTCCAAGTTGCAACAGTACTGAAAAAAGCAACTTGCGACCGTTTTTCAGAGTTACGACCTCTGGAGCATCCATCATTGGTCACACGATCAAAATTTAGACGCTTAGCAACTGACTCGTATTTATGACGGTTGCAGTGTCCCGGGGGTACATGATCCCCCCTTTGCAACCTTCTGACAAGCCAAGTCAATGGGGAAGCCAGATTAATTTAACAACCAGGTTACTAATTTAATTATTGCAGCGATTCACTTAAGAAGTACGGTAAGAAAAGTGGTAAAATGGGGCAAAACTCATTTAACAAATTTCTCCCTTGGCAACATAAATTGCGGTCGTAAGTTGAGGACTACCTGTATCACCTTGGGAAGACTTGAGTTAATCACTGGCTACAGTGGACTACTGCTTATAGTGTGCATTAAACTTTGAGCTAATTGTTCTATATTGGGGAAGCTTTAAATTGTCCTACGTTGGGGACGCTTTAAAGGGAACCATTGTGCAAGATCAAAAATCCAGGTAGCTCTTTGTCTTGTCTGCTCCCTGACATCACTTTCCCACTTGCCCTTCTGTTTCTCAAAGAAAAAAAACACACATCACAGAATAGGATTTATGTTGGGATTTGGCTATGATTAAACAAGCTCTGTGGTGTTTTGCATTCAGCCTACTAAAGTTACTCTGGAGTGGGAACTTTGCGCCAAAGTGCTACATGATAAAGTAGCGGTGTTTTCCCTTGGGATTGTGTGTTTGTTTGTACTACAGTGGAGAAAGACATGGCTGCTTTAAGCTGTTAAGAGAAAGATGCTACATTGGTGTGAAGCATCTTCTGAGATCCAGTTTCAAGCACAGACCTATTATCAACCCACAATTTCCCCCTAAAACTAAATTTGACAACGAAAGAATGAATTAAATTTGCATCTGCTGATATCTTGATGAATGTATTTCCTATGTACACTGAGAGCTTACGCACCGAAGACAAATTCTTTGTGTGTCCAATCCCATTATGTTGTGCAAACTCAGCGTTGCAGACTTACCCGGAATTTGTTGAGTGCTTTTGCTAGAGCTTCAATGGTTTCCATGTCCAGGTGGTTTGTTGGTTCATCCAGTATATAGAAGTTGGGGCTACAAGGGGGGGTAAAAAATGCAATTATAGTACAGGCAATTTTTGATTCACAACTTTTGAGGCTGGAATTATCACCCTAATTCCATCATGTTGGTCATTAAGTGGGTCATCGCACGACCATGCCAGATTTTACTGCCTTTTTTTAGGTGCTTGTTAAAGGGAATGTGATGGTCGCAAAGCAAACACAGCTGTCACCAAGTAAAGCTATTGTCTACAATGGATGTTTTGGGGGGTTTTTTTTGTCTAGAAAATGGAAATAAATGCCAGCTTCCGGCAAAAAAAACTTACACAACCCCTGCACCACGAAACAAGTCCCACTGGGAATTGTTGGGAGTTTATTAGGATCAGATAGCAATTTAAGTGCAATTCAAACCAATGTGATCCACAAGTCCCACTGAGTTAAATAGAAACAGGACTTAAAACAGTGAGCTGAGATCATCCATTCCCACAACACAGTCAAAACTATTTACTAAGACTCTATTACTATTCTTCTTCTCATCCTTCCTATTACCTATCTCCTCCCACTTATGACGATAACCATGTTGCTTGTATCTTTATGATTTATGTTGCTTTATTTAGTTTCCTGATATGATTTGACTGCTTATTTAGTATCCTACGAAGTTGTATCTTATATGTTGTATCTTATGATTCTTGTATTTTTTTAATGTACACTGAGAGCATGTGTACCAAAGACAGATTCCTTGTATGTCCATTCACACTTGGCCAATAAAGAATTCAATTCAATTCAGAAAATTGCATTCCTTTGACTGCGGGACTCTGCAAATGGCCGTAAACGGGGGCTGGTTGTTGAGTGCCAAAAATATGATCTTGTTCCCCCTCCATGTTAAGGACACGCTTTCTGCCCACTATTTGAATAACTGGATTATAATTATTAAAAATAATTACTAAATTATTTATACAACAGTAGTGAGACTGATCTCCGGGGGGGATGAGTCTGCCTACCGAGATGAGGTGGACTGGTTGCTTTTGTAGTGTGGAGACAATAACTTGGTCCTCAACACCAATCAAGGAGCTTATAGTGGACTATAGAAGGAACGGATCAGACATCCAGCCCTTCCTTATCAATGGAGACCGAGGGGAGCAAGTGGCCAGTTTTAAGTTTCTGGGTGTTACCATAAAAAAGGACGTGACTTGGGGTGCTGACATTGCAGCCCTAGTCAAAAGGGCCCAGCAGCGATTATATGACCTGACACTTCTCAGAAAACAACAACTGAATGGAAAACTGCTGGTGACCTTCTACCGCTTCACCATAGAGATTATCTTTACTTACTGCACCTGTGTCTGCTTTGCCAGTTGCACAGGGGCAGATAGGAAAGCGCTCCAGAGGGTTAACGTCATTGCCTAGAAGATCATTAGTTGCCCTCTCCCCTTTTTGGAAGAGCTTTATAGCTCCCACTGCCTTAAGAAAGTTCAAAACATTCTCAAAGATCCATCTCATCCTGGACACCTCCTTTAAAAAAAAAAAACTATTACTATCTGGCAGACGGCACAGGATAATAATAAAAACAAGGACAAATAGGCTGAAAAACAGCTTCTATCCCAGGGCAGCAGCTCTTTTGAATTCTGCCGTATAGTGCAGTGTTGGTGCGGTGTTGGGTGGGTTTTCAATTCAATGTGTGAAGGGTGAAGGATGTGTGTTTGTGTTTATTTTCATAGTCATAATGTACACTGAAGATGGTGTTTGATTTCACTGTACCAGGTGCAATGACAATAAAGTAAACTAAACTAAAAAGTAAACTGAAAACAACAGTAACAGCAACAGAAAACCAACCAACAATAACAACCCAGCGGGATTACCAAGGCATGGTCATCTGGGCAAAGGCCACTCTGCTCTTCTGTCCCCCCGATAGGCTGGCAACCGGGCGGACCGCCAATTCTCCGGAGACTCCGTAGCACCCCAGCTGATGGCGGTATTCCTCCTCTGACTTCCCTGAATCACGTGGGGCAGAAAGAGAGGTGTGAAATCCAGGCCTAAAACGTTATGAGGCACGAGAGCTAAACCCAAATCTCATTATCCCAATAACCAGCTACGACTGGGAAGCCACGCTGGGGGATGCTACGGGCCATGCCGATTACGGGGATTAAACACTATTTGGAGCATTAATTTGTGACTGTATTCATACAGCATCTTAGGAGGCATCTGTTTTAAACACGTTTTGCCGAGACGGAAAGGTGTAACATTAAACCTGGGAACGCGGTGGCTCAGTGGCTAAGAGGCTGAGCTTGTCATTCAGAAAGGTTGGCAGTTCGGCGGTTCGAATCCCTAGTGTCGTGTAATGGAGTGAGCTCCCGTTACTTGTCCCAGCTTCTGCCAACCTAGCGGTTTGAAAGCATGTAAAAATGCAAGTGGAAAAATAGGGACCACTTTGGTGGGACGGGAACAGCGTTGCATGCGCCTTCGAGTGTTCAGCCATGCTGGCCACATGACCACGGTGACGTCTTCGGACAGCGCTGGCTCTTCTGCTTTGTAACGGAGATGAGCACCGCCCGCTAGAGCCGGAAACGACTAGCGTGTAGGTGCGAGGGGAACCTTTACTTTTTTACCTTTTAAAGGTCTAACATTAAATCACACCCCCATGGTTCGTAAACCGTGGAGCCCTTGGTGCTCTCTTGAGATTGGCTGTTTGCTTGCTGATGTTTCATTACCTGACGAGGTAACATCGTCCATGCTGGCGATTGTGGGGTTTGCCCCCCGTTTATATACAGTAGCTTGCCCTCCCCGTGTTGGAAAGAGTATGGTTTTCTCCTTGGTAGTGCCTAGTTTAGGACATTGTTTTCTGCTTGACTGTTTGTCTGGGGTTAATCCCTGCTTATCTGGGTGCTGGTTACAACCAAGCTCAGAGAGAGGGCTCCACAATTCAGCCCTGAATCATGGATATTCTCCTTTATTGGTTTACGAACTCTTAATGGGCAACTTTATTCCAAGTGGAATGTATTTGGACACACTGGCTGAGAGACCATGATTGGTGGCTTGTTCAAGGAGATGCAAAAAAGTGGGACCAGGGGCCTGTAAAAACCTACTTTCTCTGGCTCTCAGATTCAATGAGGAATAGATGAGCCAAAAGCAGAGGACTACCCCTTACCCCACCTCACCTGCGTTAAGACATGGGAAGAGGAAAAAATGAATGCCTTAAGACCGATGCCATAACATCGGTGCCTTTTATGGAGTATGGTTCCGACAAAACCCAGTATGGCCCGCTGATCAATAAAAGCTGCTGCTGGCTTAACATGTTTCAGGAATCCTTGCCAATAAATTCAGCATGAAAGCCACGTCTTAGAACAGAGGTCCCCAAATTTGGCACTTTGACTTGTGGACTTCAATTCCCAGAATTCTGGGAGTTGAAATCCCCAAGTCTTAAAGTTGCCAAGTTTGGAGACCTCTATCTTAGAACGAGGTTGTACCTCGAGTCACTGTCTTTAATCTTCAGTGTTCAGTAAACAGAACAGTGGAGGGGTGGTTAACTACGTAGGCCATGAAACGGCGGGAGCTGAAATCTAACAAATTGTGAGAGAGTGTTTGGCAACTTACCTGGAAACCTTTTGGCTAGTAGTTCTGTGGCACTAATATCCAAATCCAGCTGATCCACATGATGCTGACTGAAATAGCCAATTTTAAGGTTTCTGCCAAAAATAAATAAATTGCATTGTTAAAGCTAGAGTTTAAAATGGTCTATTATTGAAAACACTAGCTCAACACCTGTGCTTTGCTACGAAACTATGTAGCTGGGCTTAGTTTTGGGGGAGGAAATAGGGAAAAAAAAATCTGCCTCTGCCTACCAGCATCCATCGGTATTTATTTGGCTAGCTGTCCTGTCAGTGTGTTAAGAGTTGAGGACTGTTTGGAAAGTGAAACAGTATTTGCTGTGTGTGCAAGGAGACAGCAAGGACCCTGGGTGTGGCTTCGCTCAACTGTTCTGTACTAAAACTGCTCCTTTCCTCTGCTTGTGTTTTGCATTTGGAACAGATTTCTTTTCAGGTGGGGAGGGGGAGTAGAACTCCTTAGCATCAGAGCGTGTTAATAATAATATAGGAAATACTAATAGGTCTGATGGTCATTTCGAAAAATCCTTTGTTTGTGAGCAACTAGAAGCCAAGAGGAACGTACGTGCCAAATTTCAAGTTTGTGGGCTTTACGGCTTTGTTCGGGTATTTTCCCATGGTCATTGTAGATGTGCTTTTAAAGCTTTTAAACTTTAAAAGCACAACTACAATGACGTAGGAAAATACCCGAACAAAGCCGAATGCCATACATGTAAGTACCTGCGAAAACTTAAGAAAACATATAGATAGACAGATAGATAAGATAGATAGATAAGATAGATAGATAGATAGATAGATAGATAGATAGATAGATTAGCCAAAGGAATAACTTGCTGTTCTGTAAGATAAATGTGTTCCCTTGCTTGACAAGGAGAGAAGAAGAAGGATAAATTGAACCTGGCTTCTGTTGCTTAAAGAGGCATATTCCTTACTGTTGTTCTGTCAGAGCCAGGGAACATTTCAGGGTCAATTCCAAAAAGGGATTCTTGGGCACAGGTCGTCCTGACACCATATCTAATCTATAACTCTTCAAAGAATCCACATTCCCCCCACCCCCACCCCAGGATCACTCAACAGCAGCAAAGGGCTGCGTCTTTTTCAAGGTCAATCTTCTCTCCCGGTGGTTTCCCGGTTTGGCCATTTTAAGACGGGTGGACTTCAACTCCCAGAATTCTCCAGCCATGCTGACTGGGGAATGCTGGGAGTTGAAGCCCACCTAATTTAAAGTTGCCATGGGTTGAGAAACACCATCTTCGAGTGATGAAGAACAGCAGGAAAGTAGGGCAGAGATAGGAAGCAACAGCAGTGTTGCATCTCCCAGCCAACGTTGAGAAGCTGAGAGTATCACTCCTCCCTTAATGAAGGAAGCAGCAGCAGGAAAGAAAAAATGTAGCTTAGTTCAGCTTTTGAGCTAATAGGCCTTGGCCTGAGCTGTGATGGTGCTTCGAAGTGGCGCTTACGTTGCACACAATGTGGCCTTCAGCCTGGGAATTCAAAACTGCTGTTCTAGTCCAATGTGCCGAGCGTTTAGCAGAAGTTTCCCATCTTCACAGAAAGATTAAAAGCTTATCTCCAAAGTAGACAGAAAGCAATGTGAAGCACACGTGCCTCGGGAATCCGGGATGCTATTAACTGCTTAGCAACAAGCCAACCATATTCTACGTGTTTTGCTCTCTTCTTCTCTTTCCACCCTATCGCTTTGATGTGGTTGGAAAGCTACCTGTGAGCGTGTCTAATCCCTCGCACAGGTGCCAGGTCTCCCATCAGGATCTTCAGCATGGTAGATTTGCCAGCTCCGTTCTCTCCAACCTTAGAAGTAAATGATATAGGGATTACAGAAACATCCTGCCAAGCTCCCTTTTAGGATTCCAGAGCTCAAGAGAAATGGGATAAAAACTTTACTCTGTTACGTGCATATTTACTTCTAGCCCTTTTTCAGTCTAAGAAGCGAACATACAAGCAATGGAAAAAAAGGATGGGAAGGGATGGAGGAAGCAGTAATAAATTCTAGTTCTAATCCCTAACATTCAAGGACTTGTTTTGGTCCAACGAAATGGTGATTAAACACTGCCTCCATTGATACTATAAAGAGCCTGACACTTTCCTTTGTTTTGCTTTTTTGGTTAAAATTAAACAGGGTCCCCAGCTACAAATCTTTAGGTACAGCAGTTATGCCAGAAAAGGTGCATCTTAAGTTGAAGTAAAGATAAATGTACTGGCCCGTTAAAGAAACTAGGATAGGCTACTTAAATTCAAGCACTTTAAACAATTTTGAGCCACCCACACTCGTTTGCGGTCATAGGGCGGTCATAGAAATCAATCAAACAAACGTGACAGTTTATAGAGTCAGCATATTTACCTCAACAATCTCAGTCCTCATTTTACCAATCTCGGAAGGATGGAAGGCTGAATCAACCTTGAGCCTTGTCAGGATCAAACTCCTGGCATTGGGCAGAGTCAGACTTCAATACTGCATCTTATCCACTGCTCCTAGCCTGGGCTGGGATTCAAATTTTTTAACAACCGGTTCTGTGGGGCGTGGCTAAGTTGGTGGGCGTAGCTTGGTGGTCATGTTATTGGCTGGGCATGGCCAACTCAATATCACTCACATCGAGGCACGCATCTCCTCGCCTGGCCTCTTATGACTGTGGGGATGCTGCAACAGTCATAAGTGTGAAAAATGCTCATAAGTCATTTTTTTCAGTTCCATTTTAACTTTGAATGGTCACTCCACACAAGCAAAGGACCAGCAAAGGAGGGGAAAAAAAACTCCAGAGAAGTTCCTGAGACAGGAAGTCTAGTCCTGCCAAGAACGTAATAAGGGTTAACGAAGAGGCAGTTTCTGTAAGCAACACGAGAATGTTTCCTTCCTGCCTTCCTTACGGGATTAGCCCAGTAATTTCTTCTAACAAGCGGTTCTCCGAACTGCTTAGAATGTTAACAACCGGTTCTAGCGAATAGGTGCGAACTGGTAGAATCCCACCCCTGCTCCTAGCTCTTACTAGGTCCTGATGTTAAAAGCACTTGTAACATTTCTTTTTTCTTGGTCTATCCACTGACACAAAACAATTGCTGAATGATTGGATTTTATTTTGTTTTTGTTTTGTTTGTGATAGTGAATGCTTTTATCGCTTTCACGTAATGAACCTTTTGCCAAGTATTTCATCTTACCACACAGATGCGAGAGTCCAGGTCAGCAGAGACAGAGAGGGAGCAAAAGATGTAGTTATTGGGCTCGTAGCAAAAGTCCACTTCATCAAGTTGTAAGATGGGAGGAGAAAACTTCTCAAAGCCATCTGGGAACCTATGGGGGGGAGGGGGGGAGAGGAGAAAAAAATGTCCAGGGGAATGAGCAAAAAAATGGAAGTAGCCAAAAGGGCCCTCACGGCTTCTATTAGAGTAGGACAATCAGCGTGGTGTTAATTTCCTACCACACTATGGTAGGGATACATAGCAGTTACATTTACAGAATGTTGTTTTTAATGTAATAATAAGTATGCGTTGCAGACATCATTTAGAGATATGGTCTAGAGCAGGGGTCTCCAACC